CATAAGCTGACCCCTAGTTAGTGTCATCTATCATTGTTATTCGAAAATACTTCTATGATGATTGGTTTAAAATCAATAGAAGACATCAGCTTTTACTGTTCTTTAAACCCCCTCATGGCAAACAAGGGTCTTCTTAGAGTGGAAGGAAAATAACAAGCCCATAGCAACCTAAAAGACTGGTATAAAGTTGCAGCTATCAGCTCAAGTTTTTGACTTGGAGACCTTAACCACAGCTCCTCATGTTTGATGCCATCGTACGGGGGATGGATCCGAATCTAGAACCTCCCCCTTGATAAATGGAACAAAGAAACCTTCAGATACATAGGAGATGCATGTGGCGGATATATTGAGACTGCAAAGAAAACTCTTTCCCAGCTTGATCTAATGGAAGCCACCATCAGAATGAAGGAGAACCCATTTGGTTTTATTCCCGCACAAGTTTTAATACCCACGTCCTCCACAAATCAGAACAAAGTACTGATTGATCCATTCTTCAAGTCTAATCTCTTTATGAGTTATTAGGACGGAATCCATGGAGTTGTGTCGAAAGATCTGCCCTCTGTTCTAACATCGGGGAGCTGCTCCGATGGCTTGTTAGGTCCAGGCCCACATGTTTCACAATTTGGGAAAGAGTACCAGCCTAACTCCAAAAGTCTACCCTCTTTTTCCTCTCCTCGTACCTACTACCCATTGACTTTCCAGCTAGCCCATTGCTCGAGGAACCTCTGCCATTGCCTTTTGTCCCATCTAAACCTTCTCCACAACTTCTCTCTTCACATTCGAGGAACAATCTCTCTCCACCAATCATATCACACCATACTATCCCTTGTATCACCTCGAATGACTCCCATTCTTTCACCAAATCACAAGCTACCTCTGATACCAGAGTCCCTATTGATCCTCTTCCCAATCCCACTCTACTTCTTGAGGGCCCAAAACTAGCCGTTACCATTTGATGAACGAGAATCCTTTCTCATATCGAGCACAAAGCATACCACCAATCCCCTCACTTCGAATCAACTCTTTGAATAAGACCAATGCATTTCCAGCCCCTACCCTCTCTCCTCTTAACCACCCTCCCCTACCGCCTCTGTTCATGCTACCCACACTATCAACCTTGACCTTCTTGCACCACAGATCACCCATTCACGCCCTGTCCTTTTCGACCCCACTATCCACCCATCAGAAGAGCTTTGTACTATGGGGATGGGTATCTTCCCTATACCCACTAAAAGCACAAAAAAGATGTTATCCCTAAGAGAGCAAAGCAAAGGGAAAAGAGAGCTAGCGGGTCTTACCTCAGCTATCAACTATGACAAGCAACAACTGAAACAAGCCAGTGGAGGATCATCCTCATCTAAATTATTTTCATTGCATGGAATGTACGGGGATTGGGCTCTTGGGAAAAACGAGCCTTGGTAAAAAATCTCATCCTCAAACAGAACCCTACCGTTGTTATTCTTCAAGAAACAAAGTTGGATAAGATCTATCACTTCACAATCAAATCTCTATGGAGCTCTAGGGATATAGGTTGGACTGCCTTGAATGCATCGGGCTCATCAAGGAGCATATTGATCATGTGAAATGAACCCTCTCTACAAATCTGTGATATCACGGTAGTCTTATTTTCTTTATCTATACACATTACCCTCTCTGATGTGTTCTCCTTCTGGCTTACAGGAGTTTATAGCCCCACAAAGACTAAGGAAAAGCCCCCTCCTCCTCTTGAGAGAACTAACTAATCTATCTTTCCTCTGTACCACTGGTTGGCTTTTGTGAGGGAACTTTAATTCTATTAGATGGGCCAAAGAAAAATCCACCTATAGAAGACCCACCAGACACATGGATTGTTTCAACTCATTCATCAACGATGCTAGCTTGCTCGACATTCCCTTAACAAATGGCCTCTACACATGGTCGAATTTTCGTGATCCCCCTACCCTTACCCTGATTGACAGATTTCTAGCTACAAAAGAATTTCTCCAGAAATTCCAGAATGTTGTCTCCAAACATTTGCATAGACCAACATCAGATTACTATCCCATTCACCTCTCCTTTGGCTTAAACAAATGGGGCCCCAGCCCTTTCAGGTTTGAAAACGTCTGGTTACAACACCATTCCTGGTTGCCATTGGTCCAATATTGGTGGATCAACACACCTCTTAAAGGCTGGCCCGGCCGTGGTTTCATACAGAAGCTAAAGGGGCTTAAGTCTGTTATCAAAACATGGAGCAAATCGACTTTTGGAAGTACCTCACTCCAAAAAAATCAGCTGTTAACGAAAATATCACTTCTAGACAGCTTAGAGGAATCAGGAACAATGCTTCCCATACAGCACACACAGAGACGAGCCCTCAAAGCACATCTTTTTTCTGTGGTTGCAAATGAGGAGATCATTTGGCGTCGGCGATGTAAATCTAAATGGCTAGAGGCTAGAGGCTAGAGATCTTAACACTTCTTTCTTCCACCGCATTATTGCTGCAAAAAGGCGGAAAAGCTCCAAAACTGAAATCCTTTCACAAGAAGGTAAAAGTCTCCTTAAAGAGAGAGATATTTAGGCTGAATTCCTTTCTTTTTTTGACAGATTACACACAAAAAAATGTAGGAAGTAGATTTCTCCCTCCATCCCTGGATTGGCATCCGATCACTCTACAAGAGAGCCTTGATATCAAACAAACTTTCACAGAGGAAGAGATTTGGAGAGTTGTCAAAGACTTAGGGCCGAACAAGTCCCCTGGCCCGAATGGTTTCACTGCGTTCTATAAAAAATTTTGGAACATCCTCAAGGTCAATATCATGAGGGTGTTCTAAGATGATTTTACGACCGGAATCATCAACGCATGCCTCAACAAAACATATGTTTGCCTCATTCCTAAGAAGCTTGATGCACGAAAGGTTGGTGACTTTCACCCAATCAACCTCAGCCTCATCCCCTATTTGTACAAGATTATTGCTAGAGTACTATCAGAACGGTTAAAAGGTTTTCTGTCACACACTATACTATCACCAAGGAGTTTGTCGCAGGGAGACAAATTCTCAATGCATCACTCATTGCTATTGAACTTATAGAAGATTGGGACAGAACCAACAAAAAGGGAGTGGTTGTCCAGATTGACATTGAAAAAGCTTTTGATAGAGTAGATTGGGACTTCCTTATTGCTGTCCTTGAAGCAAAAGGTTTTGGATCCACATGGAGAAAATGGATTAGGGGATGCATCTCCTCAGCAAATTATTCCATCATCATCAATGGTCGACTGAGAGGCAAGATCATCGCTTCTAGAGGCCTCCGGCAAGGTGACCCTTTATCCCTCTCTCTTTATAACGGTGGCTGATGTGTTTAGTAGATTGATGAATCGAGCAACCTGCACAAACCTCATCAAAGGTTTCGACCTAGGAATTAATACTTTGGAAGTCCACCATCTACAATTGCAGATGACACCATTCTCTTCTCCCCCTTTGATGATCTCTCATCCCTCACAAACATGTTCACCACTATTAGGCTTTTTGAGGAAGATACCGATCTCAATATCAATCACCAAAAAAATTGGAGATTCTGGGGGTTAATCTGGATGAGATCGAGCTAGAATCGATAGCACTAAAGTTTGATTGAAAGAAGGGTTTTTGGCCTAACACCTATCTCGGGCTTCCTCTACATGGCAATTACAAATCCCTCTCTTTTTGGGATCCAGTGGTTGAGAAAGTGAAGAAATGGTTACAACCATGGAAAAATGCTTTCATCTCCAAAAGGGGTCGGCTTACCCTCATCCAAGCCACTCTTTCCAACCTACCCACATACTATCTTTCCCTTTTCCCTATATCGTCTACTGTTGCCCAAATTATTGAAAGCATTATTAGGACTTTTCTTTGGCAGGGCAACCGAGAGCATAAAGGTACAAATCTTGTCAGATGGGAGATTGCTAAACAACTGATTGAAGAGGGAGGTTTGGGTCTCACCAATTTGAAGCTGAAAAACAGAGTGCTCCTTGCTAAATGGACTTGGAGGTATTTAAAGGAGAGATCTTCTCTTTGGAAGGAGGTTATTGAAGCAAAATATGGAAGATCAACCTGGAATCACAAACCAGTATCTTCCTCTATACCGAATGCTAAAGTCCTTGGAAAGATATCCTCAAATCCCAAGATCTAATCTATGAACGGGAGAATAGTGCTGTTGGTAATGGTTGTGGTACCTCTTTTTGGAAGTCCGCCTGGATATTGGATGAACCTTTAGCCCACATATACTCCCTCTTATTTGCTCTTTCATTAAAAAAGGATGTACCTATTAAGGACTTTTGGTCGGACCGAAACAGAAGCTTGGAATCTGAGAAGAAGAAATCTTAAAGAAGATGAAATTGTTGAGTGGACAACACTCTCACACAAGCTCTCACCGGTGTTGTTGTCAGTTGACGATGACACAGTCCTTTGGAGGCTTGAACCCAATGGCAACTTTTCAACTGGCTCTCTCACCAAAGACCTAACACACCAAAATACGGTCTCCTCTACAAAACTTTATCAAAGCATTTGGAGAGGCTCTTACCCTAAAAAGGTAAAATTCTTTCTATGGGAGTGCAGCCACAAAGCTATCAACACATCCGACAAGCTTCAACAAAGAATGTCTTATATGTCCATATCGCCACATTGGTGCCCTCTATGCAGATCAGCTTCGAAATCTTTGCACCACCTTTTTGTCTCGTGTACATTTGCATCAACCTTTTGGAACTTCCTCCTCCTCTCGTTTGGATGGAACACTGCCCTTCACATAGATCTCCCCATCCTGATGGAGGCAACCCTCACTGGTCACCATTTCACAAAGGAAAAGAAAATTCTTTGGGAGCACTTTATCATGGCCTTTTTTAGGATAACATGGAGGGAACGAAACAACCGAACTTTCAAAGATCTTCCCTACGAGAGGATGTTTGAATTGATAGTATTTTTGGTTATATCTTGAAGCAAATGTTCTCCCCTCTTTCACCATTATAGTTTTACTTCCCTATTAATCAATTGGAAGTCCTTCATGTAACTCTTTTTGGGTCTTTTGTTATTTCATACCATCAATGAAATTGTTTCTTTCAAAAAAAAAAACAATAAAACAACCTAGAGAGGAGAGATAAAAGCCCCCGATTCGTATAAATATCATTAGAATAGTAATTTGCAAGTAAAGGAAAAAGAAAATACCAATATCAAGATTTAATCTTGACTAGATGAAACTGTTTCCCCAAGCTAAATGTTTATCTTCAAAAATACCCTACCCTAATTCCGTTTATACCAAATCTAGAAAATGATAGCTTTTATAGCATTAACGCAATCAATTGAGCTTGAGATTGCAATAAAGGTCCATAAAGCATAGAGTAATGTTGTCTCTAGAATCATATTCAAAATCCTACAGTAAGTTGAAGAAAAAGGGGAAGATGTTACTAAATAATATTATTCTAGAAGGAAGCTAAATTATGAGGAATGTCGCTGAAAAATTGGAAGGGGATGAAGAATCTGCCTAAGATTCCCAAGTCCAAGACGACCACTGTCTCAGGGAAGAGAGACAATATCTCATCTAACCAGGTGATCAGATTTCCCTTCATTGGCTGCTCCCCCAAAAGAAGTTCCTATTTTTCTTTCCAGACTCAATGCCATTTTTCCTAGCACGAGGAAGTTGAATATGTAATAAAGTGGGATGCTAGGTGAGACAAACTACTAAGCAAGGGATTTTCCAAGATCTTTTCCTCAAGAAATTTCCTCAATTTATAAGATTCAGAATTTCCACATGAAGGGACATCCAACTGAGTCTAGGGCTATGGCTAATAGCACAATCAAGTAAAGCAGTCAATTATCTTATCCTTTCTTCATTCAAATTGATACCTATAAGTAAAGATTTCTCAAATAGTTGTCTTTTTTTCAACTGAAAAATGCTTGCATTGAGAAGAAATGAAAGAATACAAGAGAGCATACAAAAAAAACAACCCAATGGAGCCTCAATCCCCACCTAGCTATAAAAAAAGGAGTCCAATCCAGAAAGACAAGATATAAAGGATAATTACAAAAAGATCTAAGTAACGAAGGCCTAAATAGATGCATTAAATCTAGTAAGGGACCACACCTCCTCCTGGGGCCTCTCGAGCTCCTCAAAGACTCTCATATTCCTCTCTAACCATAACCCCCACACAATAACAAAGAAGGCACATTACCAAAAGGTGTGCCCCTTGTGGCATCAATAAACACAGCTCCAAAATACTCCATAATGTCACTCAACACTGACTGAGCTAATCTTCCTCCTTTGAAAAATAACGGATTCTTCCAAGAGGCCAGACGCCATTAAACCTTCTACACGATAGGATTCCAAAATAAAGACTCGAAGGATTATGACCCAAAGGAAGAATTAAATAGGAAAAGTAAACTTCAAGGGATCATAGTTCATAACAAAGACTAAACTTTTTCCTTGATTAATTTTAAGACCCGATATTGTCTCAAAAAAAACAAAAAGTAGTTAAGATTATTAACAGAGGACTCTTCCTGGCCAAAACATCTCAATAGTCATCTCTTCACAATAGAGGCAACTTGAAAGGTTCTCAGATTTTGAAAAGATTGTAATTATTGGTTGTTCTTACAAGATAAATGAGGGCTCAAACGAACCCTATCCTTGTGAACTCAAAGATTTTCCAAAACACCAGCCCACCAGCAATAGTCCCCTTCCAAATTTTCAATCACCCGACTCAAGATATCAACTACCAGCACAAAGAGAAATCTCTAACTTTACAAATTGGCCAATGAAATTCTTTAGCTTCACAAACTTGTTTGTGCTTGTTACCATGCTGATCGAGCATAAATCTATAACTTAATACTGGACCACGAAATCTATCAAGTCATTACACGATCGTACAAAACAAGTTGATGTCTCTCTGGTCCAAAACAAGTCATAATGTCTCTCTAATTCAAAACAAGTTATAACATGATCATCAGAAATAAAATGAACGGAAAGGAAACAAGTCACAGTGTGATCATCCAAAACACAAAAACAAGAAACAAAATTAACAATAAGAAAGAAAGAAAGAAGGAAAGGTGAAATTTTTAATTGTACTAACAGGATCATTTTTAAAGAAAACTAGGGAAGTGCGTGTAAGTATGAACCAGCGCTTCTTCCAAGATTTCCAGCCTAATCCTGCACAAATAGTAGAGAGATAATAACATAAGCAAAAACTCCGAGTTTCGCGTTAAACCCTTTCCAAGAGACAAATAAACAAGTTGAAATTTTAGTATCATAGGTATCGGAGAACAATAAAAAATACTTAGAGAATAAGTGAAGGAACTAACATTTAGGGTGTGTTTGGGAGTGACAGTAAAATTAGTGATTTTAGTATAATTGATTTTCCAAAATTATCATCCAAGTGATACCTTAAAAATCAATTTTAAGTGATTTTAAGCTTTCCTAAATCAATTTTCTAATTGTCAAACATCATTAATGGAAGGGAAGTGATTTTGACAATGGCATCACTCCCAAACACACCCTTAAACCATGTAGTTATGCATAATTTTTTGATAAGAGTGTAGTTATGCATAATAAAACCTATGTTTTAAGACTTGAGCATAAGCACAAGCTGAACAAAGGAAATATTCAGAAGTTTAAAGTCAGGGGAGACATGGTGGAATACATGGAGCAAAGAAAATGATAGCATGTGTTCTTATATTGCCTCCGAAGGAGTGCATAGATTATTTCACTCGAGAGGTTCATCATGGCCAAATATTCCAATTTTCAGACCCTTTCTTTGGTTACTACAACCTTGAGGAAAACTCAAGTCAATTAAGAATAAGAGAACTATAGCACATTCAGAGGTCTTTATATAAAAGATGCAAAAATCCATATTTGTCAAATACTAATAATGGGGGTTACTCATGGATAAGAACCTAATCAACTGATCATAAAGTCTAATAACTAATTATTTGCTGAACAAAAAGAAATTCTACATGAAACAAGCAGCATACTTATTACTCGGAAAGATTCCACTATCATTTCAATTTTTTTACAAGATATATATATATATATAACTCCATTTACAATGACATCTAAAAATGTGTCTGGTTTTCTAGCTAGTCATCCTCCCAAAAACTTCTGACATAAAATTTTAATCAATGATATACATCTGATCTATAAAACACGGACACGGCAAAAAAGGAGGAGTGTCTGTGTTGGACACGTGTCGGACCCGGATACGTCCGGACACGCTCTGGACACGTGTCCGACACACAATTTAAAGTGTCCGAATATTAAATTTTTTATTTTAATTTCAGACACGTGGGGACACGTTTTGGACACGGGAGGGACACGCCAGATAAAAAAATAGCCGAATTTTGGAAGTCCAAGAAGTTTGGCTGAAATCTCAAAAACTTAAACTACAAAAAAAAACCCTAAAACGCTACCTAGTGACCCACCCTTCTGTTTGTGTGAGTTAAATTAAATAAGCTCTATTCTTACTTCCTTTTTTTCCCTAATTTCATATGAATTAAACTGGAGTAGAATATGTTTTACTAAATTAGGATGACAACTTCGACCCAATAATCAAATTCAAATCCTTCTCTAGGATTTTTCTAGTGGATTACATTTACTATTTTTATGCTTTTTAGTGGGTACATCTTCAACCCAATAAATTTACTTGACATTTATGTTTTTTAGCGAAGTATATTTAGCATTTTTATGTTAAATTTACCTATATCCTAAAAAAAATAATAAATAAATAACGTATCCCCAGCGTGTCCGTGTCCTAGTTTTTTAGAAATTGACGTATCGCCGTGTCCTGTCGTGTCCGTGTCCGTGTCCGTGCTTCTTAGCATCCGATTATAATGTAAATGTCTCTAATAGTCACTTGCTTTCAACTATAGTTGACAAACATGTCCTGTACATCATAACAAACACTCAAGATGCCCAAGTGAAGATATAAGATTACAAGAAAATACAAATATATGGAAAAGGAGCACCAACCTTTAGATGATATAAAAAGTGGGCCACTCTTGAAAACCTGCCAAATTGATGCATAATTTAGAAATAAAGCTAAATAAATTGTACCAAATTGCACCAAATGCAGGGAACTGAGCCAATCAATTGAAAATAACAACATTTCCTTGAGCATGTAGTATCATCTTCACAAGATTTTGTCATCAGGTCTTTCACAAGTATAATGTTATCAGTATTATGCATTGAAAAAATCAGAGTCAAAGGTCATCTAACAGTACCAAAAGCAATATGTCCTTCCAAAAAGCCCAACTTAAATGAAACTGAAAAATAAGTCTACAGAATGGCTCAAAAGCAAAGCCTTGGAAAACAAGTCTACGCAATGGCTAAAAATTGAAAAGATGAAAAAAGGGAAAATAAATAACATTGAATAAAACTTTTGCTTGTAAAAAATAATTGGGGGAATCAAGAATGCATTAGAATTGCAAGATGGTTCTTTTATTATTGTTGTTTTTATCTAGAAGAAACAATTTCATTGATAATTTTTCATTTTACATCATTTCTCATGCTATGTCTTGATGTAAAGAGTCCTTATTTTCTTTCATACAGTATGAATTCTCTACTGACCAATTGAAGAAGTTTTCTGTAACTCCTTTGTCCTTTCAATCATCAATGAAATTGTTTCTTATAAAAAAAAAAATTCATTGATAATTTTTTATCATTATTGTTGATTTAATTGCAAAAAAAAAAATGAAAAGAGAAAAAAAGGGCAACAAGAAAACCCAACAAAAGGTGCTACCAAAAAAAAAAGCTATCCAGCTGGACAAAAAAGGCTCCAATCCAAGAGAATCAAACCTAAGGAATAATTACAAAACCTTAGAAACAAACACAAAAAGGGAAGCATGTGATGTAACCTCTTTCCAAGATCTATCCACACCATTAAAATTTCTCCAATTTCTCTCAAACTAAATCCCCCTTAAGGTAGCAAAAATAAAACATAGCACCAAAGAATACGACCCTTATCCCAAAATGGAGAGTGGAAGAGCACCTCCTCCAAAATAGAGCAACCACTATTATTCCAAGCCAGAATTGCAAGGTGGTTTACCACTTAATGTTGTCACTAGTGATAGTCTTGCTCCCACTAATAAACTGTAGGATAATATGGTGTTCAAATGAAACTACAAACTTACCAAAAGTTGAGAGATCCATTATTGAAAAGGGATTTGTCAATGAACGTGAAACATGTTCAATGATAATAATTGAAATCGAGAGAAATGCTCGTTATCTGGGATCAATTGTAACAAGGGTAAACTAAAAAGTCCATATAGTTTCAAGGGTGTGCAGTCCATTCTCTTCCTCCATCATATTTAGGTTACCCTTGAGACATAACCCTCGGGTACCCTCTTTTTGGGATCAAGTTGGTCAAAAAGGTTCAAAAGAGAATTTCTACTTAGAGAAAAGTTTTTCTCTGTTGAGTGGGAGGACTCACTTTTCCATCTGTGTTGAGTGTAATTCCTTTGTATTATCTTCCTCTAGTTAGGATTCCAAGGTCAATTAAGGTTCAGTTACAAAAGATCATGAGGGATCCTCTTTGGGAATGGTTGAAGAAGGTGGTGGGTCTTCTTTAGTTAACCAGAATGCCAATTTAGAACCTTGGGGGTAGCCTGGGGATTAGGTAATTTCGACAGCAAAATTGTAGCCTTCCTCTCGAAGTGGCTTTGCGACATAAGGAAATTGAGTACAGGTTACACTCTGATGATTGGAATTTTGGTTCATCTCTAAAGCACCTTTAGGACACCATGGAAAGCAATCTCTCTTTGCCTTTTGATTTTTCAACCTTTTACGATCTTCTCAGTAGGACTAGGAAATGGCAGTAGAGTTTGATTCCGGGAATATCCTTGGCTTGGATCAGAAACCCTTTCTTTTCAGTTCCCGCTTCTCTACTCTCTAGCCTTATCTAAAAACTTTACAGTATCCTCTGTCTCTTGTTCATAAGTTCCCACTTCTTTCCTTTGATTTCAACCGATGGTACCTTTCCCTGGGAATAGATATCAATTCTTTCAATATGAAGATTACAAAAATAGTTCTCCAATTGAAATTTATCAAAGATGGAGAATGATTACAAAAATCTTTTAGAGAGATAATCGCCGAGAGAGAGAAAAATCCAAGATTGTCTAACCCTTGTAAAGGTGACAAAAACCCCAAAGAATTCTTTTGTTTCTTTGTATCCAAATAATCTGAAACGAGGCTGCAACAACTCTGACCCATAAACTTTTAGGCTTTCTATTAGAGTCATGGCCAATGAGCATTCTATACCAAAACTCTCAAACATTCTCTTGAGCACATCATTTCACGTGAAAGACAGCCAAAATTACAATTTACAACAAAAGTTCCCAGAGAAGTATCAGTGAAGACATTCTGCAGGTTACCAGCTGCCCTATTGTAGAGAGCAAAATACTTTACTGAGAGAGCCATAAAATTCTCTACGAGAGTTCAAAGGAATGTTTTCACTTTCCTTGGCATTATGAACTTCAACAATCTGGTATAGATCAAGCATGTTTCTTGCCATTCAAAGGATGATAAAAGATCCAACGTAGATTCATAACAGGACCTTTTTTATGATCTCTTCACTGAGGAAAAAAACAAAAAAGTCCAAAACAGAACTTACTCTCACTGCCAACATTTTGCACTCTACAATCCGGTTTAACGCTTGAAGGAAACCCACAAAAAGATTAGATAGAGAAGCCCACTCCTGGATCCCAATCATAAATGTGTCTTCTAAAATTTAAGTTCCACTCTGTTTTTTGGTTCCAGATTGCAGTAGTTTTTCCCTTAGTAAGCTACTGGATACAAAATATGGTATCTGGCATGCAAACAAAAAATCCCCACCAGAGATCTCCGAATCCTTAACTTTCATACCATTTCCCACTGAATGAAATATTGGGATAAAGAAAATTCCAGCATCTTACAATGTAAAAATCAAGGCTCCTTGAGATTGAGATGTGAAAACTCGGACCATTAGAAGTCAAGACATACTTGCTCCAGATAATACTATGCAAAAGAAGTGCGATTTTGGAAGAAACCTCCACAGCTGCTTGGATCAGAGAGCAAGAATCATATTTATGAGCCCATATGTAGGGCTAGCCATAGTCAATTCGTCCAAAGAAAATAAACAAAAACTATAAAACAAAAGCATCTTCGAAATGATGAATTGAAGATGGAAACTTCAATCGATCAGATGAACAGTCATTTTCTTGCAAATGGGTATTATTTAAACTTAAAATTTTATAATTCAAACCCAAACATTGAGCAAGATAATTAGGCTGTTAATAGTTTTAGGATGAACTGTCTTTTGACAGCCTACGACTATCAGAAAAGAAACATAATAAATTGAGTTCAATTTTTACTATAGTAATGAGAATTTAATCCAAATATTTACTTCCTTCCCTAACAATAATTACTTAGTTTAGAAACTGAATGGTTGAGTTCCTTTGCTTCTTCAACTCCGGACTTAATATAGTATGCTTCCAAAGTAATTAATTCTCTACTATTGGACCTACGATCCTCCTCATATATTTTTCCTATACTAATAAAAACGTTTCCTAACAAATAGAGAGTACATTAAATGCATTTAAAATTCCTCTCCAAGTCCACTCTCCGCATCGCAGCACTCAAAATCCAAAAGAAAAAAAAAATTACCGTATTCGAAGCCCCAGCTCTGGGACGCTCAAACGCCGCCAACGGAGCAGACATTCTCGCCGATTCGCACTGAAGCTACGCCATCGAGAGGACAGCCAATGCAACTACTATAATCACTCAAACGGCTCAACATTCAACCAACAAACACTCCGATACCATCCCTCACCCCTCCCACCAACTCCCTCGGCTCGGCAGCATCGATTACCGCAGAGATGACGACAATGCCAGATCAGATAGCTGCTCCAGCAATGAATCAGTGAGATCTAGCAGCAAGAGTAAAGGAATTACCGATTCCTAGGGCTGAGATTGGACAACCCAAAACCAATCACCACCGGTTCATTTCATCTCAAAATTTCCCTCCATTGTTCTCCCTCTCTCTTCCGATTGGATAGATGACGAACAGACACCAATCGACAGCAATCCTCCAATTTTGTTTGCTCGCAACCAAAAATTTTTGGTTTCGATTCAGTATTGGATTAGGTAGATAGAACAATAGTGGTTGTGGGAGTAATATGGCAATAGGTAAGAGAGAGAGAGAGAGAGAGACAGAGTTACTTTGCTTTTCACCTAATTCTGGCCGTGGGGAGAGAGAGGGAGAGTTTTAGAGATGGTAGTGGCGGTAGTGGTAAGGTGCGGTCGTGTGTAGTCAAGTTCCGGTCAAAGTGAATTGGATTGCCAATTAAAATGAGTCACGTAGGTAATGTCGATTAATATTTGAAATACCCTTGATGGAGCCTCCGATAATGGAGGTAACGTAGATTGTGTAGCCACAAGGAGTTAAAATTTGTCAACATTGCTTGACTCTTGAAACCGGTGGAAAAGGGGGGAAAATATTTCTCTTTTTTTGTTGATATTTATTTTAGACAAAAACCAGAAAAAGTGAAATTTTTTAGAGAAGTATTTTTTTTTTTTTTGTAAAATGTTGAGTATATTGTAAAGAAAAAAAATCGGTTGGATGCTAGAGATCAAGGTACAGAATAGACAAAGAGACTTACAAAATCTATTTGTAAGAATACAACAATGAAAATATAGTTTAAAAATAACATATTTAAAATAGACAAGTAGCATAAAAAAATACATTAAAAACTATAAAACTAACAAAACGCGTTTATGAAAATAAATCCTACATTCTGTCAAAATATTGGATCTGAAATGAATGTTTATGTAGCCAACTGGTCGCATGAGTATAAATATTGTTTTTAAGACGTAAAATAATCGAAGTCAAACAAGATACACCATCATAGGTTGCAAAATTATGTTCTCTCCCAGTAAGATTCGTTATTTGAAATTTGTGTTTTAAGAAACAGACTTTTTAAATATTATTTTTTTATGATGTCATTCCCTTTTAGATTTATATTTCTATAAATTGATTTATGGTAATTAAACTAGGTTTGTTAGTTGTTCAATTTTTCATGTTTATACCCGAAAACAAATAAATGAGAAATAGACACTCCAAGCTTGTGACATTCTGTAAATAGTTTAATTCATTTAGTTTTGTCATTCATTTTAATTGTAATTAATTTTTTTAGTACAACTAGTATGATCAAATAGATGTCAATTACCGCTGAGCTAAGTTCATGATGGCAATGTAAGTAATTTAATTTATGTTTTTGTGTGAATTAATATTTTAGATTAAATCACTTTGATTTTTTGTTGTTATAAATTTAATTTGATTTTTTGTTGTTATGACATAAATTTGCTGAATTTTGAATAGGAGAAGAATAACAAACAGCTTGAACTCAAGTAAATAATGACAAAATAATGGAGTTGCGCACGATTATTACATTTATCGAAAATCATTTTGTAAAAAAAACAAATCAACATAATTTTCAATAATATCAATGGTCAGAAGCCATAAATTTTAAAACGATAAAGAAGACTTTGCAAAAATTTAAAAAAAAAAAAAAAAAAAAAGGTAATCAACGAATCAAATAACATTCTATTTTAATCCCATGCCTTGATCGAACGGTATACCCGGTTCATTTAACGGCTAACTAGACAGAAGAAACCTTAACGCCTGACGTGGCAGTACACTACTGGCTGGATCGTAAACAAACTCTGTGGTTAACTGCACAGGATTCGACCCCTCTCAAAAAAAGAGCCAATTATTAAAAGGAAAATGAAATAGATACAAATAGAGTAATAACGAGAAACCACGCGCGGGGCACAGGCGCGTGATGGAAAATCCGCGTGGGGCCCAGAGTTGAAAAGGGACGTTTCAGTAACTTACCTTGGGGCGCAAGAGCGTGAGGGGGAAGCATCATCCCACACGGAGACGGGAGGCTTTTTCGGGTCAACTGGCTTGACCGGTGGCCGGTCGGATGCCGCTCTGGACTCCTTGTCCATTTCGGTTACATCACGATTAAAGTTACGCTTCACGTTTTGTATTTTACGGTTCTTACTACCGGTCGTACCTGTCAACCGGCCTCACAGTTTTTTGTTTTTTTCCTTTTCAATTATATGTTTTTTAAATGTATGGAAAAGTATTAAATGTTATTTTCTATTACCCCTATATTTCTATGTAACTACTCAATTTAACATTAAATTTTTAATTCCATTCAATTTCGAAGAAGTTATATATCATCAACCAAAATATTGAAAGTTCGAATTTATGTTCCCACATGTTGTTGAACTATTAAAAAAAATTTACTTTTTATATTGTTGGTTTTTTTCGGTACAAAAATTTGGGGATGTGAAGGATATGGTTGGTTTTATTAATTTGTTGTACTGCTAAAATAAAATAGAGAAAAATGAGTGGATTTGTACATAATTGAAAAGAATGATGTAGGCGAATTGAAATAAGTAATAAATTTTGTTGGTGTTGGAATCCTCCTACTAATGTGGTTGGTGGATGATGAGGTGCTAGTATGCTTCGTGGGCGTGTAACCTGCAAGATTGAACTCAACATTAGTGTTGTGCTATGCCAAATGCACCATGAAGCTTGAGAGTTAGAACACAATTCAAAAGAGTCCAAGTGAGAGCAAAATGTATCGTGCATGATATTGCGGCACCTTCTCAACTCCTTTTATATGAAAGAGATTTGGTGGAAGTGCTTCGAGAAATTTGGGTCATCCCATCAGGCAAAGAGTCGTTGTATAGCCGACTCCAAAGATTCTATGACCTACGAAATCGTACTCCCATTGAATGTCAGTGGATACCTCGTCGAGTTAACTCTGTCCGATGAAAGTAGCTAAACTGGATTGTCTGTCTTTACGACATGCAAGTTTTCCCTCCTTGGTACATCAAGTTCAAACTGGGCCCAAAACTCTCGTGGTACTGAAGGTTCTGCCCATTTGTCTTGTCGACATTTGAGCCATACAAAATTAAATTTTAAATATACACGAATCAACCAATAAATTATATTAAAAAGTTAATTAGAGAATAGTTGAAATCAAGCCAAAAATGTCTAAATTCATTTCTAAAAAACGTTTGACCTTGCCACAACATGGAGTGAGTAAATTTTGGGTGGAACAAAAAATTAAGTACTAAGACCTAAATAAGAAAAACATCTATAAATGTTAAGGATCTCACATCGATAATATGATATCAGAGTCCAAAACGTTCAAAAACGAGCATTCGATCTAAAAAGTATGGGATCCGGCTAGGATTAATGAACCAAAAGAGTCACGATCTTGAGGAGGCATGTTAAGGATCCCACATTGATAAAAGAATGGACCTTACGTAGGTTTATAATAGACATGCTCCTCTTATTGCCAATTGGTTTTGAGATGGAACCCATTACTATTAATAAAAAAATAATACACAAATTTTACGATTAAATGTAATAAAATAATCAAATTTTACGATTAACAACCATCAATATCGACAAATGCAGTATTTTTAAACCTTAAAATGTATGGGCTTTCCCTAAATATTAAAAAAACATGAAACTAAGCTGATTGAATATGTTAATTTCATCCCCTATTGAAATTTAAGATTATTTTACATCTTATAATATAAATAAAATAGACAAACATTTAAAAGTATATTGACAAAAATGAACCAAAACTAACTTAAATTACAATGAAAAAAATAGTATTTTAACAAACTATTAATAAGTAAAGAATCTACCAAACAAAATTGAAGTGAAATTTGTAAAATTCGATAACCTAAGACACAAAATGAAAAGTTTAGAAACCTATTACACTTCTAAAAGTTCAAATATTCATTCAACATGTCAATCTGAACATAAACTTAACTGGTTAAGTGATATATCAAACAATCAGAATTTCGAAACCGAACCCTCGCCTTACTATATCTAATTGGATCTAGAAAAATAAACTATTCAATATAATCATTAAAATTGATAAATTAAAATTAAAATTTATCTTTTAAAAAAAGCATTAAATTGTGGGGGGCTCGAGTAGTATGGCCAGGGCCCAACTAATTTGGTGTTTATTTCCGAATTATTCTAAGGGTTCTTTAAATGCAAACAGAAATCTTATTATTACATATCACTATTAGGGAAGGCGAGGGGTTTCGTATTGTGCACGGTACAGCTGTAAAGAATAATGTTACCGCCGTACATTAATATTGCAATAATAGCGCCGTTCAATTTTTTTATTTTCTTTTTAAGTTTAAATACTATTGTTATGTTGTTATTTTATCCCAATTTTCAATAACAATTTCAACGAATTCCTCAAAATGCAGCAATAAATCCGTACCAATTAATTTTATTGGATATAAAATTTGTGTTAAAATTTGGTAAGTAAAAAATTAAAACGACTTTTTAGAATTACAAAATCAAAATAGATAAAGATCAAAATAGTATTTCCAACCTTTTTTTATTCTCATTTCTACTAGGTCAATCTCGAAATTGTAATTTTTCTTTTCAAATGGGTTTTATTTTATTTTGTAATTATCCTTATCTTTTTAATTCGATTCTTTAAATTATTATATAAAAAACAAACACGTGTGAATTTTTATTTATGACCTCTAAAAAAATGTGTATTTAAAAATATATTAGTTTTTTTGGATAACAATTTTATTTTTAGTTTCTATTTGAAAAGATGTCTACTCACTATTCTTACAAATTCAGTTGAAGAGCTGGATTTGAGGGGTATTATTTTGTGAATTATTTTATTTTTATTTTTAAAGTTTATTTTAATTCAAGAACTCATTGATTTTTGTTTGTTTTTCCTATATAGAACAAGAACCTCGATATAGTTAATTAACTTAAAGGAGGAAGTATCTTTTTTTCTCAAATAAAAAAAATTAAAAAAATAAAATTTTTCTTTGTAAAATAATTATGTTCTTTCTAGAAGAAAGGAGAATTTTATTAGCATTATTTTTAATAAAAGAGAAATTTGGGTTTTTTCTTTCAAGAAGTTAATCGAGCTTGTAATTTCTACTAACTTTGTTAAAAAATGGAAATTTGGGGTTTGTTTTTGTTTTCTTAATTGGGTTTGTATCTCCTAACAAAATTGTGTTAAACAAAACCACAATGAATGCCCACGTTAATTTAACCCATTATATTTCTTTTTATTTCTTTCAATTATTATTTTGAGTTAAAAAAAAGATAATAGTTTTCGAAAAACAAATAATTGGGTTTTGTTTGTTTTAAACTTGGGCCTTCGATTTTT